GCAGAAATTAATAAAAACTGCACAGGAATGCAAACGAGGAATGCTAATTGGCAAACACATTCAATTGCGCGATTTTTGTGTTGTTTTTTTTTAGTTTTCTTTTAAATTGTACAATAAATACCCATGTACGTATAACAAGTTATAGTCAATTATTTATGCAGGTTTTTATTAAATACTTACTAAAAATTAAGCTATATTTACAAGGATTGTACGAGTATACTGTGGTGGCACAGTGCTTTGAAAAAACCCGTGTACAGCAATTTCCAATTACGATCATTTTTCAGTTATTTATGAGAGTGTGTCTGTGTATGTGTAATTGTGCCTTTGTCATTTTTTTATATCTGCCTACAGCTATTTAATTGATTTATTCTGTTGCCAATTAGACGATTCTCTTTATTCAGGTTTCACATTGATTTTATACCGTTTTTTAGTTTGAAATTGCAATGCCCCCTGCTGTTTTCTTTTTAATTAATTAATGTTAATGCAGCTTGCATTATGCGAGTGTGTTCTCTCTTCGATACATATTTCGTACATATACACAAACATAATGTATATAGTACGCACATATAGTACGTATGTGGATATAGGTAGGCGATGAGCTGCGCATACGCTAATTCTGTTCAGACTTTGAATTTATGTATGTATGTGTTTGCTGTTATGTAGCGGAAATCGAGACAGCTGACAAATACTAGTTTCTTGCTCGACTGCTTTTTTTTGCAGCTTGTGTAATTTTATTAAAATTGTATAAGCTCTGTTAAATACTGTTTGTGTGCACGATGTTTTTCAATGCAGAATTCCAATTTGTTTAGCTTTTGGATTTTTCGGGGTTGCTCGGCTTATTTGTATACTTTTTTGTGTACGTTTTTTATTAGTTTTATTATTTTTAAATTTTGTGTTAATGTTAATTTTTGCTTTTAATGTGTGTTAGTTTAGCAATTTGTTGTTTTATAATTAAGTGTTTTATGATCGTTTTGTCATAACACTTCTTTTAGTTAAGATTTAAATTTAGTTTTATAGCTAAATGTTTAAAAAATGTTAACTGTTGATTTTTATGCATTTTACAATTTAATACACCAAAATTGGTTTTGCTATTTAAATACTGGTTTTAGCTTATTTAAATTTGATTCGGTTACGGTGTGCTGTTGGTTTTGTATTCAACTGTTGTTGTTGATAGTGTTGTTGTTGTTGTTGATAGTGTTGTTGTTGTTGTTGATTTTGTGTGCACCAGCAACGTGTGAATCCTTTTCGTTTGTGCAATTTGCACAATTTGTTATTAACACTTGACGGCGTGGCACCGACAACGACGCATGCCGCATATTGCATATGTCTGGGCTAAAGTGCTTGACTTCCGTCTTCGCTCTTCTATCGCACACTCATTCATTCTCACACATACATGTACACGCAAACATACACGCAAACACACACGCTGACACACAGGCATGCACATGCAATGTCGCCGCCAGCTGTTGTATGCACAAATTTGCTTTAATTTACACAGACAAATTTATACAAATAGCTGGCACATAACAATGCAAACAGTGGTACGTACGCTGTAGGAAACGGAGAAGTCAAATGAATTATCTATCACGATCCATCTTGACAGACTAGGTGACCAGGAGAGGTACCAAACACACTATATGTACTATATTCATTTAGAAGAACTTATCATTGCAATAAACGAATAAGAAAGTCTCAACACAACTGTTTTTCAGCAGAAACGGAAATATACAAGTATGTCCATTATTGTTAACAGTTGCTTTATTCAATGATTCTGTTTAGAGAGGGGAAGAACTAAGAAAGCTTCCTTAAGCCATTGTGCGGTCTAGAATAGAAGAATAAGGAAGTGACTGCTTCTTGAAAGTATAAAACCAGAAAACTCTGAAGTTAAACAAAACATTAGCATTTCTCTTTACAAATAATTAAGTAAATATTATTCTACAATTAAAAAAAAAAAAATGTTTCCATGCATAAATTGTGTCGGATAAATCGTTTCTGAACCACTGCACCTGTACTTGCACTTCCTCTCTCATTCTCTTTCCGGCTTTCTCTCTTTGTGCATCCGTCTCACGCACAGGCTCACTCACTCGTTGGCTTGTAAAACTATTTTAATTAATTCGCATTCACAAATGTTGAATATTTTCGATTAGGAATTTTAATTAAACTTTTGCCACCTCGCACGCACTGATCCCCAAGCGTTTCAGCCTCTTCCCACCAAACTACAACAGTGGCAACAATAATAAGCACAACACTACATACATACTTATATTTCGGTAGAGTGCAAAAATCTTGGCAACCCCTCAGCTGGATCCACAGGGCTGGCTGAGACGGGGAGCCACCGCCATCGCGCGGTATTTCTCGCCCAATAGTTGTTGCTGGGACTTGTCGGTAGTTTTTGTTTGCCTTTGGCTCACTGGCGGTCCCAAAAAGTTGTGCGAATTTGCATGTTTTTCGCTTTTTATTAACTGAAAGCGGGCACATACTCACAAATACTATATATGTATGCACATACAAATTGCATGCATTCCACATTTAATTTGTTTCGTGCCTTCAGCGCTACAGCCCTGCCTGTGGTCGCCTAGTTTTTGTTGTTTTCGCGTTGCAAAAGTTATTAAAATCAATTAAAAATAAAAAGAGCGAGAACACACAAAAAGCCTTGAGTAGAAGTACGAAAACGGGGCTGGAAATTGAATAGTGTCTTTTCTCAATTATGTTAATAGTAGAAATGTTTAATTGCTTTGACTTTGACAGTCAGCGAATATAATTAGTTTTGCTGAAACTTAATTAATTAAGAAGGTTTCAAATGACAACTGTTTTGAGAGTCGTATGAAATTCGTTATCAGATGCTGGCAATTACTGAGAACAATCAAAAAATAAAAATATTGTGCACATCACAAGTGACTTGCACTTTTATTTTAGCCTAATTATATTATATGCCCACTTAAATGGAATGAAAATATGGAATGCAATTTTCATTATTGAATTAATCAGAATTCGATAGTTAAGTAGATGTCAGCTTTCCCGAAAACAGGTGAAGAGCTAAATAAAGTAACTCATTACATTTTCCAAGCTAACAGTTATGTTGACTACTTAATTAAGAGTATTTTCTCTTTACAGGAGTTAATCGGAGATTTTATCAGTGACCAGCAGTGGGAATTGGGGAAATATTCTTTCTACTACTTCTCTTACATAAACAAACAATAATTATGCAAAGAGTAAGAATAAGCTATAAGAGAATTAGAAAACACCAATAAGAATATGCATAAGCTCACTAAAGAGCATCATGACTAACGACTCTAAGCTTGTAAATAGTCTCGTTTCCGTTCTAATGTTAAACACGAATTTGGAGTTTGGGGCCACGGCATAGTCATTTTTCCATATTTCACACTTAGTAATCAATCAGCTCCTTTCTACTGTCTCACATATTACATTTCTCATAACATTTGTATGAAATGCTAAGCTTAAGCTATACATCCAGATTAGTCCCCTTAAACGTAATATGTATGTCTGTTTAAGTAAATGAGAACCCAGATACCATCAAGGGCGTAGGCAGGTGAAAAATTTTGCATATAAAGTTGACCACACGTTCATTATTATGATGCACTATTTCGCCTTAAAGCTGCCCTTTCGTAAAAGCGAAGGGTAGCTTGAAATAGACATAATCAAAATATCTACATACCAAATAATTTTCTTTAAAGCCCATAAATAACACTAATTTAAATGTCATCCACCAGACGCATTCAGACACACACACTCGCATACAAAGTGGCATTATGTGTCAACAATTTGGCACCCAATGAAATCTGTAATTGTTCGGCAATGAAATAAATACAAAATTTGTTTTCGCACATTGTATGGTTGAGCTTTGCGGTGCCAGCACGTATAAATGCTAATAAAAATGTTGCGAGATTTTTAGCAAATTCGATGCATTTAATTGGACAAATTACACAAACGAAACATTGGCCATTTAATATTATTGGCTAAGAAATTTGTGTGATTTTTGTTTCAAGTGGTTATTGTTTGTTACTTGTAGTGTTTTCAATTGGAACTTTTTTGGGATTTCGTGGGAATTATCTAATTGTATACTATGTATATAAATGTATACATACAAGTATATGCTTATTATTATTATATTTCTGGTGTGTTTGTGTGTGTGTGTGAGTGTTTATATATATTTGGTTTATTTTTAGTAAAAATGTGTGGGTTTTTTTTGGAGATTTGTTTTAAAAATTTGATGTATGTTTATCAACATTTAACTAAATTTATTTCAGAATTTCGCGCTTTCTTTGTCCAAGGTGCGTTACCGCAATTTTTCTTGGCATCCTTATTTAATATTCATTTACTTAATACTTGCTTTAGCTTAAACTAATTACGACTTAGGTGCTAATTTAATTTACCACATAATTAAGTTACTTATTCGTACACATAGACATAACTAATGCTAAAATAGTTTGAATGCTGCGCAAGATGCAATTTGTGTCTGTCTTTGCGTTGCATTTTGCCTAAAACTGATGTGAAAAATATATGTATATGCACAAATAAAAAGCAATTAAAATTGATTTCGTTCGCATTATTGCAATAAACGAACGCACACGCTTACACTCACACTCAGAGCACACATACTCGTACACATGAACACATGCAGTCATTTTTTTGAATTTAAAATGCCATTTAAAACACTTTTTGTGTATTTGTGTTTTCTTCGAAATTTTACAACTAAAAATCAACAAGGAACTTTTTGGCGCTCAAAAATACAATATAATGTTACAAAAACTACACACGCTTTATACAACACTGGCCGCATTCTATTTCCCTGCAGCCATGTACGCCATTTTCGACATCATACTCGTTAGCTTATATGCAAAAACTTACTCACTAACTTGCTGCTGGCAAAATCAGGCCTTGCCAGAAACTCGTACATACTCGCACATAATGTACATATACAACGTACATACATACATACATATGTAATTCATTAGTTGGCTTTCTCGAATACTCCAACACTTCCAACTCATGTCTTTCATTATGTTACATACATATTTTGATCAACTGCTCCAAAAACGTGCACTTTCGCATTTGTTTATTTCGCAATGTTCGCTTCGCTACGTACTCACAATGGACTCCATGATGCAATAGCCGTGGTCGTCTCGTTTACGTTTCCGTTTCCGTTTGAGGCGTTGCCAACACTACTGCCATTGCTAATGTCTGTGGTAGTGTTGGTGTTGTATAACGCCGACGACATGCTCATGGTGTTACTCACTGTATATTATCCACGATCATCGTCACGTGCGGCGAACAGGGTTCGCAGCGAGCTGATGATTAAGTTCCACCAGCCAGCTGCGAACCCAAGTGGTCGCTATAAGGAGTTCTCGCTGCCCATCTTAAGCAGTTCGAATTTCTTTTTGGCAATTTTCGAATATAGTATATCAATCGGCTGCGACTGATCGTACAAACTGGGCGCTTGCAAAATAATAAGCGCTGTGCCGACCACGCAAGCGATTGCGAAAATCCAAAGAAACAAACGATCCAACACCATTGCTACGTACTTCCAATCCTCCTCGACCTGTAAATGAAAACAAGAAAATTGTTGTTAAAAAAATGTTTCCAAATTAGTTTAGTGGACTTTTCTAATCGATAATCTACGTTGCCAATATCTTTAGAAAATCTCATAAAATCAATTGGCAAATCTGTTTCAATTTTGTGGTCGGCGCAAACAATTTAAGCCAAAAGTTGGAAGCAAACATTGCTGATTCAATCCGATGGCAACATCGCCACCATGATTGGCAAACATACACATTCACATCACACAGAGCCACACGTAAACTGTTCCAACCACATGCAGCGAACCATTTGTGCACAAACAACTCAATCACTCAACTCAACGTGACGATGATGCAGTTGTTGGTAAAGCTAAAGCTAAATCTGAAGCTGAAGCTGCTGATGCGCCATGTTTGCAGGAGGGGAATTGCCTTCCCGGCCCCTTACATCACCTTCAACTCAACTCTCAATGCCATCACTATTTTCGTTTACAATTTTTGATTAGAGAAAACCCCAGCAACGAGCTTTCAATGTGAGCTGACGGGTTGGCTAATGCGGGTTATCAAGAGCAGACGCACGCAAACAGGACGGACATAGTCAGACAGGCTGGTTGGCTGAAAGAGTGAAAGGCTGGCTGGGTGGAAACGGAAGGCCGAGGAAGGCAAACAAAGATTGCAGCTGATTTGAGCAATGTCAGAAATTGAAACATTTTCCCACGCATTTCCTACGTCTGCGCTTTGCTGGTGGGGGCTTTTTGGCGAAATTGCATTTCCAATGGAAAATTAATTACATTTTTCACTTTCCATGCTAATTACTTACGCTCTCAAACTTGTCCTTGTTCTTCACATGCTGTGCTATGAAACGTGAGCCTTCAATGGTTTTCTCCATTTCCCGCGCATATGGCTTCTCAAATGTGGGACTGAGATCGGCAGCAGCGGCGGCTGCTGCGGCAGCTGCAGGACAACAGCCCGGACTTAGGTCACCATTGAGACCCGATGGACTGAAGAGATCATCGTCGGCGCCCGGTAGTGGCAGTGAGGAGGGAAGCGGTGGTTCACTAAAGCAATGAGCGGCTATTCCGCCAGCTGCGGCCAAATCAAAGCGATGCGAGGCAGGAAGTGCTGCAATTATAGAGATCAGGGGAAGCAATTAGAATTAGGATGTCAATCTATTGAATCTCACAATTTGTAAGCAATTGTTTAATTTAATATGTGCAGACTTAATAAAAAATACGAAAACATTTATTACAGTCCCTGTACTCTAAAGAATAGAGTGAATATTTAATCTACTTTTCTCACATATGTATAGTACATGACTTTTTTGTATTTGCAATAATAAGTTTCAGAATTAAACCAAAAATTTAAATAGTTTCAATATTAAATGCTAAAGTCGTGTTTTTCTTCGTGAATGTAAAAGTTGTATTTTTTCATGGACTTGTTGGTAATAATTTTCTGTTCATTTTATTTGTTTATTTGAATATTATAGTGCGGGGGCTCAAATAAAATTCTCCAACACATACTATATGTTATTGTAATACTGAATGATTTATTTTGCAGATGAGGTATCTATATATATTTTTTTTTTTTGTCAGAACCACCAAACGAATCGTTCTACATATATTCGACTGTATCACCGGGAGGATTTCTAAACATTTGGTGGGATTCTAGTATTTTCTCGGATGCTTGCTTACCTACCCTGTTAGCAACTTTTATTCCAAAATCACAACGAAGAAGGATGTTATAATCGGTTAATCTGACAGTAGCTGTGATTTAAATGCACATAAACATAAGTATATGTCTGTATTTTGGTAACTCTAACATTGCACTTGCTTTCTTTTATTATGTTTTAAAAATTTTCAAAGCTAGAGTTGGAAAACTAATGTGGGAAGTCGCACATATGTTACTCACTTATTTTATAAACTTTAGAAAAGTTTCAAATTTAAAAACCTATGTCTAAAGGATTTATTATAATGTTGTACTGAATTGCTTTTCTTCAATGTATTTGTTATATGCAGTTGTGTGGTGAAAGACGAATATATAATTCTAACTAAGCAATTTAGAATCGTGAATGAAAATAGAACAATATTAGCTTGTTTGTAAAGGGAGAAGGTTTAAGATACATATTCACAAAGAATTTAACCATCTCATACTGGTGGAGCAAGGATTTATATTATTTTGTCTAATTACAGATATTGTTGAAGCTATGGCCCATCAGAAATACAAGTATGCACCCTTACCAACGTTAGGCAAATAAAGTTGTTAACAAGTTGTATTTTACTGCTCAACTGTGCTGTTCATTTGTGTGAAAATGCAATTTGTAACTTTTTTATTGTGACTTGTCTTTGACCCAAAGACGATGGTAACCCAAGGCATGCCCCAAAGGAAGTGCCGGCGTTGGCAACAACTGCTGCAGAAACAATAAGGCAACTCAATGAATAGTTTTCTGCATTTTCGTTTCCTTTCTCTTTTTTTTTATTTGACTGGACATTTGCTTTTGCAACGTTTTTATGCGCATGAAGAGTAACTACAAGAAGACAAGCGGAAGAAAGGAAAAATAAAATGCTTAATTTTTATTCAGATTTTTTTCTATTGTCCTGAACACAAGTTTGAGGGGGCGCTGCGAGACTCCAATGCTCCAATCAGACAGACCGGGCCAGTCGCGCGTACTTCAACGACAGGCTTCTCAAAGTTAAATTTGGATTTATTTTCCTCCTTCAGCAATTGAATTGTAGCTGTTTGAGTGGCTTTGCTTGTCGTGTGCGTAATGTGGGGAGATTAGAAAAGTTGCAGGCATTTCGAGAGATTTAAGGTGTGCTTAAAGCTGTTTAAAAACACTGACATTTCAGGTGAGTTGGTAAAGAGAGAAGAGTCAATCGAAATCGTGTTAGTTATAATTCATGGAACTTGGCTTACAATTCAATTGGATTGTAATCGACTGCTACTTTTCGATTAAGACTGCTACATTGTAAAATTAAAGAATAATCAATCATTGGGAATCTTCCATGGAAAGCCATTTAAAGCATTAGCATTATAGTCATTTATAAAATGCATATATATATATTCTACCAATTAATCGCTCATATATATGAGTTTTTATTTTTGTATACAAAGTTTCGATAGTTGCAAGATTATAAAAATATGTTTAAATAATATACGATTATAAATATTATATATGCAGATAAGATAAGAATCTATTTTATTCATTTTTTATTCACCCAATGAGCTTTATTAAGGAGTTTATTAAGCTTCAGAAATGTTTGTATAGTAATGACATAATTTAAGGGATAGAATTCAATTTGTTTATATTTCAGACAAAAAGGCGAGTTTAGGCATTTGTTAAGCTACTTCATAAATAAAATTAATCAACTTTCAGAAAGTCGTCACAGCGACAAAGCAATATTTTAGGACTTAAAACAGTTAATAACACTTGGTTCCTGTGGCACGGATGGGAGGGCGGCGGTTATTGTCGCTGTTGGCTCTCAAACTTTTCAGTTGCTGCCGCTGTTGCAAAATGCAAGTTGGCTTGCTGTCTGCTTCTGCCGCTTCACTGCCTGTTAATTGCCATAAATTATTTGCAAACTCGCCCCTGGCAGCGTGTATAAAATGCATATAATTTTAATGTTGTTGCGCATATTTAAAACGGAATATAAACTAGCATATATATAGTATGCGTATTTGTATATATGGATATTTTGAAAACTTATATATATATGTAGTAGCAGTCAGTAGTCGGCTAATGCGCCCGCTAAAGCAAGTTGAAAACATGCATAAATTACTGCTGCAACAATAATAACACCAGCAACAGCAGTAGCAGCAACAGCGACAGCAGGAGAGCCCCCCAAAGCCGAACTTTTGCAGCAGTCGTTGCAGAAACTTTCTAAAGTACATCGCCAAAAGAAAAAAAGAAAATGGTTTAAAAATAGAATGCAACAACAAAGCAATGAAACTTTGCTTGTTTTGTGCAGATTTCTGTTGACTATAACTAAGATGCATACAATTGGAACTGTGCGCCTTTTGTATAGAATTCTGTAAATCGGATTTCGAAGGGACGTGAGCGCGTGCCCTTGCTTTTCGCAAATTGTTTTTGATTTCATTAGATGTGGCAAGGCAAGTTGGTATGGCAACTGGTTGGAAGGGACTTACCTGGTATGCCATAGTCACCACTGAAGCGCTTTGTGTCATAGTTGACAAACTTGTCCACATCTGGTGGCAAATGGAACACGTCGGTGAGCACTTCAGGCGGCTGGTCGTCTTCGGGCTCCTCCTTTTTGGGCCGCTCTATGCAGAGCAGCTTCGGCAGGATTTGAATGAAGATGCGTTGTACCCACGGTGCCATGCGATGCGTGACAGGTGATCTGCGAAGCAATACATTTCAAATCACATTTATTGCTTTGGGCAGCCATTCAGAGTGCAAAGTTAGACTCCTCCAATTTGAAATACCATACTATATTGATATAAATACCGCTTAACATAAGTCTATATATTTTAATTTAAAAAGAATTTCCTTTAAGAGTTGCAAACTTTAACAGCTTTTATAAATGAATAAATAAAAATTAAGAAATCCAAATACAAAACAAAGAAACCCGTTTCCATGTTTGTATAAGGTTTTAGGTTTCAAAAGTTGTTTCTTTAGGTCAAAAATTTTAAATTATTTTTGCATTAAGTAAATCAAGTTGCTCAGTATAAGTCTTAGCTGCACGCTTTGTCTATTTTTAATTTATTTGTGGTGTGTTTATCTCTTGAAATTTGTATTTTTTCGATCATGTTTGCTTGACACAACTTTGGTAATATTAGGCATTTTTATTGTTAAGCTCCTGCTACTGTTATTTAAACGAGTTAAAATATATTTCAAATAATACACACAGTTTTGGTGTCCCTCTATGAAATACTATAGCTATTGGAACTATTGGTCTTATTTCTTGAGCGAGATAATGATTGTGAGGACCTTATAAAACCTGAAGACTATATTGAACTATTTGAACTTACCGAAAGTTGACGTTGAGCACAGCAATGGTGACCACAACCGACAGCGTTACAAGCATCATGGTAAAAAGCAGATACTTGCCCAATAGCGGCACCGTCAGCGATGTGGGCGGTATAATTTCGGCGAGAAGCAGAAAAAACACAGTCAACGAGAGCAAAATGCTAATACAGAGAGAGATCTTTTCGCCCGAATCGCTGGGCAAATAGAAAACGAGCACGGACAGAAACGAAATTCCCACGCAGGGTATGATCAGATTGACGGTGTAGAAGAGTGTCTTTCGTCGCAGCGTCAGATTGAAGACAATATCGAGATACGGCTCCTCGCAACAGCTGTAGAATTTCTCGTTTCGCACAGCAGGTACGCGCATGATATCCCATTCGACGGAGATATAGTAGTCCTGCAAATCGATGCCCACCTCAATGTTGTCCGAGTCGGCGGTCTGCTTCAAATGCCGCAAGTCAACCTGAAAGATAAAGATAGAGTGGGGATGGAGTGTGTAAGTTATTGGCTTTTGGCATTGATAGTCAAAGGAGTCACGTCCCTGGCAGTCAGACAGTTTTAGGTTCGTTTTATGGCAAATAGCGGCAACAGCTGCTGCACAGTTTGTTTTAAAGTTTTTGATTTATTGCACGCTGTCTTACTGCTTCTGCAAAACGTTTGTAACAACACCTGCTTGCTGGCTGTCAAGACAAATACACGCATTCAGTTGTACATTTTCCTACATCTATACAATTGAACCCACTCATATCGCTATTTGTGTTGATTTGTTGGCTCATTTCATTTGCTTACGCGCTCACCTTCACCCACTCCCACTTCTTCAGGTTCATCAGCGTGAACATCATTTGCCCTGATGTTCGACGTTGTTGTGGCAGCTGAACGAATTTGCTATGAAAATGGCAAGTGATGGGAAATCGCACCTTTGACAAATGCTGACACTCGTCAATTGGCAAAAGAATGGTTATTTCTATTGCCATTTCATGTGCTCCAGCTTAAATTGGCGTCAGTGTTCGTTTTCTTTCACGTACTCGCGAATGTAAATGACATTCACGTTCTAGCTTTTATTTCATTTCCATTTCACTTCACTAGCTGCATTTTGCCATGTTCAACTTCTACTTGTGTTGTTGTATTGTGTGTTGAGAATTTATAATGAAATATGAGTATTCGCCGTTAACTAATATTCGACTTCTACTGGTAACAACAACCTCATCAACGCAGGGGCCCGTTCACGAATAAAACAGTTTAATCCAACTCACATGAAAAATTTCTTAAGCATTGCCAGGCTCTAGTTGAGTTTTTCAAAATGCATTGTATTTTGTTGCATATTATTGATATTTAGATTCACAAACTGAGCGTTTTCACACATAGAGTAATCCTATTACTATATACTTCTTATCGAGCTGTAATGTTCTTTTGAGAACATTGGTGGAACCAACTGGAACAGGACGAGTTATATTGAGCTTAGTGAATTATTCAGAATGGTTTTTATCCTTTAGCTGTTGCAGCGACCTTCTTAAGAAGTTCATCTTATGCACTTTCTCTTAATATGTTTAAGCAAATAGATTTAGTAAAGTGATAACTTGCTGTCAATGAACAAGATACAGGTACAGTGACAAATATTATTTTAAATGTACTGAAATGCAAGCTTGGTAAGTAATTTTAGCTTTATCTATTGCTTCATATATTGAATCCAATTTTCTCAGAGCAGAGTATTAAAAAGAAAGGCTATGCAACACAGGCTGTGCCACCATTATTACCTCGTTCTATATTTACGCTTATATTGTCGAATGGTCAAGGAAAGCAAAGAAATCAGCCGACAACAATTTTCATATATGGACAAAAGCAAACGGGCCAGCGTTATGTGCATGACGCGTATGTAGTATGTACTATATACACATATTACATACAAACTTTGATTCCCACATATGTGCGTTCTCATGTGTGTGCTTCAGAGTGCATGAAGTCGAAATCAATGAAGCATGTTGAACCTTTCGAAGCGTAAATGTGCCTTGTTTCCAAAGAAAAACAAAATTTATACGTTTATATAAGTAAATGATAAAATGTCTTGTCATTTTTTTTCATGCCATTGTAGACGGCAGCGGCAGGAGCCACATAATGAACACAACTTGACTTCATGAGCCATCTAGCGGCTGCTGACGCAACAGTTGTGCAGGAGGCAGCCCGCCATTTTGAATTTGTGCGTTCGCTCCATTTTGTCTTGTTTTTTGTTTTGTTTGGGGATTGACAAACGAGCCCAAAAAGTTTTGAAGGGCGCGGCTGCTTCATTAAACGCAGCTGCTGGCTGTTATCTCTTATACAGCTGCACAGACGTTGCATGTGTGCGTGTGTGAGTGTGGGTGTGTGTGTGTGTGTAAGACATGTGATTTATCACACAAAGGAAGCGAGCAAACGTGTCAAGTGTACAAAAATACAATAAACATTAACAACAGTATTGAAATAAATATAACTGCCAAGGCGCGGCAACAAAACAACAACAACAACCACATAAGAGAGGACTACAACAACAACAATATCTGAAGTTTGCCACGCCCCCAGCGCAGCTTCATTGCAGAAAGTTTGATTGCCAAAAACTCACAATCAATTGCTAGCTTGAATTGTTTTTACTTTTCTCAGTTGTTTTATGTCTTTTTCCAGACCCCAACCACGCCCATACCAAACGGCCCACTGTCATTTTTTATGTATTACATGTTTAAATAGTAATTTTTTCGCACACGCACACACATGGAGATGCTACAGAGGGGCAGGAAAAGAAGCCAGGAAGGAATGTTGCACGTGCAGACTTCACTGTCCACACCCCCCTTTCCGATGCCCCTCAACTGCGCTGTCATTGGATTTTGTGATTTAATGCTTTTATAATCGAGTAAAGTAGCGTTTGATTAGCAGTCAGTCAATCAGCCAACCACTGAGTCCTTTAGTATTGATGGATGGCTCGGTACTTGGTTGGCTGGTTGACTAGCTGTGTGGGACAGCCGCGTAATCTGAGCGGCGTTCCTACCAGCAGGCGCAGCAACAGAAGCACGAGCAGCTGAGGCGTGTCACTGATTGACAGACGGCTCGTGGTTTGCTACTCGAAAGGCCCCCGATAAGTCCTCAGTACAGGAGTCAGAATGTGGTTACATGTTGTTGTTATACTTACCATATATCCATCGTATGTCCACGAACCGAATTTCATGAAGCATGTTTGCTCATCGAATGGAAAATATTCCACATCAATTTCGCAAAAGGATTTATAAATGGCAGGAGGTTTCCAGACCACTTTGCCCGTATGATGCAGAATTGCTTTAGTCATTATTGTCACTTCATAGTTGCCATCAGCGCTGAAAAGTAAACAAATAATCAGCATTCAATATAATTAGGTTCAACATCAATAAAAATATAAAGAGTTGATGAACTCTTGTGACACATAAAGGATTCAAAAGTTGAATTATATATAGAGTATGTTGTTATGGATGGAAATGAACAGGGCGGTATTTTATGAATTCTTTTGAATTTCTTTTCAGTTTTTGTAAGGCAGTTCTACCAAAAGTTGTTTTTTGCGAGCCCCTACTATAATAATATAATATAATTTTTGATTTCCTTAACAACACTAATGACTCACATAAAGAAGTCTACTACTAGCGTACACGAGCTGTGTTTTCATAGATTTTTTTGTCTCTTAGTCTCTTTCTCTCAGAGCTTTGTAGATTTCATATTTCTTTGCTTATGTTTCATTATTTATATCTAAATGATCCAAGATAACCAAGATCGCATAGTTTGAAACTTATTTAATATATGTCTAAGGAAATAATTTCTGCTAGAGCTTTAAAGCTTAACTACAATATCCTTATACTTTTAAACTAACCACATATTTTTTTACACCCATGAAAACCCACTGTAAGCGATACTTATGAGCACACACACACTTGGATAGGCCACCAAAACCACATTACCATTACCGGCGGCCATATTAGCCAACAACCATAAATCTCAGCTCAACATTACGTTTGTGCGTCTCTCTTTCTTTCTGCCTCGCTCTGCCTATCTCAGCACGGAAACGCTCAGCTATTCATGCTTTTCTGAGACCCACAAAGGCATAGAAATCGTACAATATTCCCAAAGTGCTTGGTGCTCTGGCTTTGTTTTCTTTAATTAAATGAATGTTGTTGACAACTTTATTATCAGCTGAACTTTGTGAACTCGGCAAGCGCCCACGCTCCTACTCTCACTCCCATTTTATCCCAGTGGCCACACCCATAGCTTCTGCCCAAAGTGGCAGCCACAACCACTTTAATTCTATTATTGTATGTTACTGACTGCTCCTATTTCTGCTTCAGCTACAGCTTCAGCTTCATCTTCAGCTCCTTTCAGGCTTTCATATAGTATACATGACTCTTTTTCAACTGCTGTTGGCTTTTAGTTTTTAGCATGACGCTGACGACAACTGCGTTGAAATCAAAAGAAGTGAAATAAAATTTCATTATCTTTCATTAGATTTATAAAAATAAAAATGGCGTGCAGGAAACAGCAGCAAGGGGCAAAGCATCGCACATAGAAACAGAGTCAGCAAAAAGTTGTGCTCGCGATTGGCCGGTTTAGTCCTGCGTCCTGCGGTCGTCATTGGGTTCGGGTCGGCAGTGGTTTTATACCTACAACGTACGAAACTTTTAGCCAGATACAAAGATGGCGCACTGCGAGTACGAAAGTACTGAGATTAACGCGCTGATAGCCGCGACAGGCGCCGCTGGCATGACCACGACGACGATGGCAACGAGAACTCTACAGACGACACTCATACGCCGCATTGGCCAGTCAGCTTGTACATCGTTTGTGCACTGAGAAATTGTATGATCCACACTCAAGAATTGAGTTCATGTTACGGTCGTGCCTCAATAAAGGCCTATCCAAGCGAAGTACGTACTTACTGAGCTTAGCTACATATTTATTGAAATACACAAATCTGTCTTATCTGACCACGATTCAACATGAAAAGGCTAAGTAAACAAGTAAACATCGTTGATACAAAATTCTACAGAAAAACTATATTCAACGCAGTTCATTCGTCTTGTATTATTACGTCAAATGCCAAATGAGCATTTGTATAATAAGAAATGGAAAATTTAGTGGCCTAAGATCTTTGGATTATCTGAGAGCTTAAACTTTTAAAACTGGAAACGAAACAATAATTACATATGTGTGGTAATATTTAGTAGCACACGTTTTTCTAAGTGTACGCATGTGGGTATATGTGTGTGTGTGTGACAATTCGAGTCGCCCCGCAGGATTACCGTAAAGATAATGGCTGCAATTGTGGTGACCACCGAGCTTTGGTTTGGTTTTTTTTTTGCTCTGGTTATAAACTTTTGTGCTGTTTTCTCTTTTGCCCGCTGCTGTGGAATGCCGTCGGCCATTTTAAATGGTTTTTAGCCATTAATGGTTTGCTCGTAGTTGCCGTCATCGCCATCTCTGTTTTTGTTGTAATAACATTTTAAAATGCTTTGCTCTTGGATTTAGATTTAGTATATGTACATAAGTATGTAAGTGTACAAGTATAGAAGAATGTATAGATGTATGCATGTATTTGAGTGTCTGGTAGCGCCGATGGCGTCGACCGAAGGACGTTTCGCTACTAATGGACTGCAAACCAAGGCAAGGCATTTAAAGGCGAAGGGAGGCGAGAAAAGGCGGAAAAGATGTGAATGTAAATGGCAGTGGGCCGCACAAAGTAAAGTACGAGTAGAAAAAGAGGAACAACATTAGAAGCAATTTTTGCATTTTAAAATGAATTCGTAATTAGAAACTAAAATGTATTTTTAATTAGTTCAGTAATTTTTTATAGTTAGATCTGAAGCATTTGGTGCGCTTGTACACTTTGCCTGCGCACGCCAATTTTGAGTACGGACATAAAATGATGAGTTTAAAAGTAGTTAAAATGCTAAAGCCTGGCATAAAGCCACAAAATTGGCAGTTGCCTTAATGCGTTCTGTACTGTGTATGTGTGGGTGTGTGTACTTGAAAAAAAATTGTAGCTCAGCAAATGGTGCCAGTGGCAAGTTGGCTGAAGTTTGAAGGAAAGGCATTCAACCAGACTAACTGAATGAGATGGAAGTAATTTGAGTATGTTAGAAAGATAAAATTGCAGTGCCTGAAGGCATGATTTCTTCGAAATACAACGAACGAAAAGCCATAGCACTTTACGTACAAGTATACACACTTATTTTTAGTGTATAATGCTTATAATGAAGTGATTCACACAGTTCGAATTCCCAGCTTCACTAATTGTCTGCTTATATCTTTTCGACATTAGAGGAGGCGATGGTATAAGAATCACGGCAGCTGGAAAAACTTAATATATAGATTAAAAAAAATCTGTCTAAAAAAACACAAGAGCGCTTAAATCTAATACACTATTAAAAGTGTTTGCGGAACTTCATGGATTACTTGATTTATCAGTACTAAGGCTGTTGCTAAACAACTAATTTTATATATATGTAATTTCGTAGTATAATTCATATAATATGTTTAACTTAAACGCAATTAGTGAGCACTGCATTGTCTAAACAGCCTAACTAGTTGTATTACGCTTCTAATCCACATGTGTACGTACATTGAAATATGGCACTCGAAAGTCAAACCTCCATTACGATGCTAGCAGCTTCAGAGCGACTTTAATGTCTTGGATCAACATTTAAATTAATTGCTGGAATTAAGCAGCATCAGCAACACACATGTAGTGGTATAACGATAGCGGAGACATTGTATACCCTGAGTTCAAAGATTATACGACTATATTGATTTAAAACGTGAAGATGTTGCGTTGTTGAAGATTAAATGCCTTCCAGATAATATATAGAATTTATTTTATTTATCTTTTGTATACCCTGGTAATCCGTTCTAGCAATTTCTTCTGGTTATTGTTATACTCGACGAAATAAGTTTTATCTATCAAAAGTTAAGTTTAGTTAGTGAAATAAATTTATAAAAATGTTTAATTCATTAATTAATAAATTTTTTTTTTTTTTTTTTTTTGAGTATATAAAAGTTTGCACCCATTCCCGAAAGTTTATGAAAAACACACTAAATTTGATAGTTATTTAAAATTATTCTACTAATAGGAACCAAATTTTTGTATTGTCAACAATTCGGAACGATTTGATGCTTTCTGGCTGAATTGATATCATTTTAGATTTTTATTTCCTTACCTAACGAAACCTGCCTCTACAATCAATCAGAAACTATAAAGCAAAGGGTATCCCAAAGTTGAGCATGATCAAGTGTAGTATTTTCTCAAATTTCATGCTTGTTGTTGTTGTTATTGCTGGAAAAAACTTTTGACAGAGAGAAACAAAAGTAGCTGCCTGACATTTGAAGGGCTTACATACGGTTTTTGTTGAATTTTATGTTTCAGTTTTGAACCCCCACAACCCTGGTAGCTGTCAAAGTGACTAGTCGACTTTTTATTGTGCGCTCCGTGAAAAATTGTAATAAATTCCTCTTTTTCAATTATTTCGCGTATAGTGCGTTAAAAAAAAAAAAAAACCACCCGGAAACCTAGTTTCACCTTGGCTTTTTGGCAATCGTTTAGTATCCTTATTTTCTTGGATTCCAATCAACAATTAATCTGCTGTATGGGGCTGCTCTGCTGACGTATACACGTCATCGGAGCAGAGACAGCCCAGAATTTTTCTTCTTTGCTTGTTTTGCAAGTCATCTTATCTCACGTAAATGAATGCTGATGAAGACTCGGCCGCTCTCGGAGCAGCTGAGGAAGTAGTCAATAAGCTGCCGAAGTACGTGGAGATGAGAAAAATTTCTGGTAAATCACCTTCGGAGCTGAGAGCAAAAATAACCAAGGACTTGCATATGTCAATGGGAAAACCATACTTAAAGCCGTCAATCTCAACCAGTAACTGGATTGCCTCAACCACTTGTACATCGACTACAAGTACCCTAACATTTTCTGTGGTGAACTCTCAATCAATGTATACTACAGTAGCGACATCAAATGGCAGTTTGTGCTCCACACCCGCCGTTGTGAGTACACCGGCTTCAATGACAAACTTAGTTGCAAATCCAACTCTGGACAAATTTTGCTCGTTTCAAATGCCAGTACCCGGTATTAATAGGAAGCGGAAAGGAGCCGTCGAGTCACTAAAATCGGCTCAAAAAAATAAGCCAACTCCTGTCAATACAACCCAGGGACAACGAACTGCGTCCTCCTCTCCGCCAGCGCTTCAAAATAATAGATTTGCAGCCCTTTCGGAAGAAGCTGATTCCATTATGGAAATGGAAGAGCCAGATTCCGAAGATCCATCGAGCCAGCAAAATGAAGCCAGCCGTT